CCACGAATATTTGAATGCGACATAACGCTTGTTGCATTCAACAAACACTACTACGACATTGCCGGGGGGGAAAAATGGGGTTTTAGCCACAACTTCATATTTATAATAGATATGGGTGGGTGGGGGTGGGGGGGTAAGGGGGAAAAAACAGAATAAAAGACGGACTTTCAAGTCTTTGTGAGTTCAGATCAGGCTAACATAGTTATTTTGTATAGAACTGGAGTCCGGGCTACTCAAAGCAACAAAAACAGATGCATAAAGGAAGTCCAATTTCAGGTTCATAATACATGTATTCTTCAGAAGTGTGCTGAAATGAAGGTATGATTCCTGTGTTATTCATTGGGCAAAGCAGTTCATGGAGTTAACGATTTCTAACAGTGGCTGACAATTTACAATATTACATGTCGTGTATGTTTATATATTTTAGAACAATCGCAGAAGGAGAGCAAAAATATGTTTGACTGCAACTTAAAGTCTTGTGATATTAATTCATTACAGTAACGTCTGAATACAATTTTGTACTGTGAAGAAGGAAATAGAAAGAAGTTGTAGATCTACCTACGTGACTGGGATTTCTGGAGTAACTTCTGAATCAATTTTGTACTGTGAAGAAGGGGGAAAAAAGGGAGGTGTGTTGTGGCTACAGTTTCGTCGACCCAGGACACGACACAGCAACAACACACACACGACACGATGAACTCGGAGGCGGACTACACACTGTGTAACCTGGACTCGCACCACGCCTACAGCGGCGCCTACAGCGCGGCGGCTACAGCCGACCTGTACGGCTTCCACCACAGCCTGGCTGGCCGGAGTAGCCTGGACGCTGGTCAATCCGCCTGTGCCGGCGGCTACTACGGAAGTGACGCCTCCCTGTCCCCACAGCTGGCTACGGCCGGGGAACTCCCGCTGTCCTCTGGGGGTGGGCAACCTCTGGGAGGGTATGGGAGTGCGGCGGGTGTTCTTACTGGGCGCGGGAACCCGTCCCGGGCGGCGGCCCACCACGCGCACCACCAGGGCTACTCCCACCACGCTCTGCAGGCCGCACATCACCACCACCAGCAACAACAACATCATCAGCAACAACAGCAGCAGCAACAGCAACAGCAACAGCAGCAGCACCATCATCAGACAAATGCTGCAGCTGCGGCGGC